AGGGCCACGCAGATGACTAGGCTCAGCCCCTCACAATGGGGCAGGTGTGCTGAAGCATGTGGTTGGGAGTTGGGCTCAGTCCACAGAGCTGGGGAAGCCTTCTGGAAGGAGGGCAAGGCACCCCTGAGACCCACCAGGGGAGACTGAGCTGGGCTGCTTGCAGCCACTGGGGAAGTGGCCTGGTTGTCCCGGGGAAGCAGGGTGCAGGCAGAGCTGGGGGGGTTGCGCGCAGCAGGCCCACATGCCTCACACGACCCGCGGGAGCAAGATCCCGACCACAGAAAGGGAGGAAGAGAATCATCAATCGTGCGTGCATTCAGGGCTCAGGGAGGCTCAGACTCTGCCTCAGGTGACACGGCGGTTACGGCACAGCCAAGACCAGGAAGCAGCCGGGGCCCCACAGGAGCCTGCGGACCAAGCCCCCCTCTCTTGGTCTCCCTCCCTCTCAGCCCCTGGGCGGTGGCAGGACTTCAGGCCCCCACACCCAGGCAGAAACAAAAGCCACTTCCTGTCTGGGGAAGGACAGGAGGCCCTCCTCTCTGACCGGTCAGTCCTCCTGCCCGTCACAAAGTGGGAAACCAAGGCATGAGCGGGCCGGTAACGCCCTGGGTCCCCGATCAAGTAGTGCGTTTCAAGGCATGTCCTCTGACGGGCCAAGAGCTCAGCCGGAAGGTGCCTAAGGAGCCGGGCGCTGGCACTCCAGGCTGGCCCGGCCGCTCACCTGCGCGCTGGCCTGCCAGACAGGCCCTCTGGAATGTGGCCCTGGGACACCCCGCCCAGCACAGCTTAGCACTGACGTGGCAGTGGCCAGGGCAGGGCCACCCAAGGGGACAAGGCCACCTGAGGGGCAGGGCAACGGTGCCGTGGACCACCTCTATCCACGAAGACAGCCACGGAGCTAGGAGCCTGACTTGGCTTCCACCCAGCCAGGTGACCCTGCACAAGGCCCTGGGCCTCTGTTTCCCCATCTGTCAGCTCCAGACAGAGAGCCAGGAGCCCCAGGCCGGCAGTCCCCTCCTGCACCCCGCTCAGGTGTCCTGCCAGGCCTGCGTGCCCGGCTGGGTCCCCGCGCTCAGCTCTCCTGGGTTTGTGCTAGTGAGTGGTTGCCATGGAGACCAGTCTCGGCTTCTCTAGCAGGAAGGGGCTCCCCCAGGGCAGGGCTCTGCCTCTCCTCATCAGCCCCTGCCCTGCCCAAGTTCAAGCGCCCGGTCTGCCACAGGCTGGATCAGAGGAAGAGAAACCTGGGTCTCAGGGAAGTTGGGGCAGGGTCTCAGCTCCCGACAGCCCCCCTCCGACGACGAACAAGGCCCATGTCAGCTCCTCGGGTTGGGCCTGGCTCCGGGAGCGGAGTGATGCCTCCCACGTCCTTGGCTCTGCTTCCATTTTACAGAGGGAAGAGTGGGAGCCCAGAGGCAGCCCTGGCACCAGGAAGCAGAGCTGGGGAGAGAGGCCCCGAGACCCTCGCCTGACGGGCTCCCTCTTTCTCCTGAGCTGGCAGCCATGACCGGGCTCAGAGTGGGGAGCCGGGGCTGCCAGGCCAGCACGAGAGCAAGGGCCATGTGCCCGAGGGGACCTCCAACTGCCTGTCCCACCGAGCCCAAGGGCACGTGCTCAGAGGGCTCTTGCCCCGGCTGGAGCAGGGGGCATGCATCCCCACTCCCACCAAGAGAACACTGCCCCGGGGCAGGGGTCCTGGTCCCGCTCCTCTCGCTGCGTGAGCTTGAATAGGTGCCTATCCTCCTCTGTCCACACAAGCAGATAGACGGAAGCGTCTAGAGGTGGCTTCTGGGCTACTTCAATCTTACCCAACTGAAGCAACCCCAGAAGAAGCGCCAGAGCCAAGCCCGGACCGGAGCCAGGGCTGGCCCCCCTCACCTGCTTCTGAGGCCCACTGCCCTCAGGGGGTTCTCATGGGGAGGAGGCGAGGCCATAATTAGCTGGGAATGCTAGGGCAGGGGCAGAAGCTCCTGCAGTTTCCCAGGATGGAGACCGGCCTGGTGGCCAAGGGAGGGGTTCTCAGAGGGACCTGGGAGGGCCTGAGCCTCACAAACACGGGCAGGGCGCAGGGGCCGGCCTGCGGGGAGACACACGGCAGGTGCAGACACACGGAGGGGAAGGCAGCCGACATGGTGCGGCTCTCCTGGGGGTCTGCTTGGCCCAGGTGCTTAAAAATATCCTTGTGTGGTCCACCAGCCCAGGAGGTGGAGAGGAGGAAGTGGTAACCCAGAAGGCTCAGGGGACACCCCCAAGGTCACCAGCTGGGAAGCTGAGAGCCTGCCTCGAACTCTGGCCTCGAAGATGAGGTTCAAGCTGCCCGCTGCAGTGGCCCCGGGCACTGTGGCCAGCCCCGCCTGACGTGACTGTACCCCCATAGGTCATGCACCAGGTCCCAAAAGTCGGTGTGAGAAAAAGAGCAAGAGGTCCCATGAAGAGCTGTTACATTGATGACACGATGAAATATTTAGATCTATCAGGTTGAATAAAATACATTAATTCACTTCACTTATTTCTTTTTACTTTTCTAACGTGGCTCCTAGAAGTATTTAGATCATGTATGTGGCTTGCACGATACCCCTTCTGGACAGAGCTGGTCTATACCATAGAGCTAGAAAGCACAGGACAGATTTAAAAGGAAGAGAACGGAACACCTTCTGTTCTTTGATGAGGAAGGCGGGGCCACATGGGTGAGGTTCTCAGGGGCCAGGCGGGCCGAATGTCAAAGATGACAGAGCAATTCAGGGTCTGCATCCCCTCCTGTGTCCCAGCTGGGCCAGCCAGCAACAGGTGGACTCAGGCCTAGGATGACCACTCCCCTGCCCTCCCCCTCCAAACACATCAAACCATAGTAGTTGTCATAGAGACAGTAAATCTTCCTAAAAACTGAACTTGGGGGCTGGGGCGTGGGGGAGACGGCCATAAAGAGAGGGAGAGGGAGCCAGGCTTATCCGGAGAGGAAATCTGTGTACGTTGTTGTCGTTGGGTGTTGGGGGAGGGGCGGTGCCTGAGCCCTGGCCGGGGACAGGGAGGGATGCTGTTTGCACAGGGTTTTCCGGGCCTTCCTCCCCACGGCCCCACGCCCCTCTTAGCTGCCACTCTCCATCCCCCCTTACCCATTCACTCGGAATTTCCTATCTTGTGCTCCCATGCTGACTCTCGGACCCAAGGAGGGCTGGGGGCAGATAAGCTCCACACCTCCCTGATCCCACCCCCTCCCCTCAGTCCCTGGCAAAGTCAGTGACCCTGAGAATACCAGGGAGGGGTGGTCTGCGGCCGGAAAAAAACAAGTTGTAAAGTGTGGCAAAGCCAGAAGCAGCCCCATGCCGTGTCCCCTGAAAGGTGGGGCATCTCTTCCCAGGCCGAGGCTTACTGGTGGGCCTAATGCCTGCCTTATCTGCACTCCCCAGGCCATCTCGGACATGGGCTGCACAGGGGCCTCGGTCTCCTCTCTGTGTTCAGAAGCGCCCCACCTTCTCAGACTTCTCCCCACTTTACGGTGACACCTAAGCTCCCAGGTCTCGGGCAACATGTCCTGAGTATTCCTGCTCAGCAGACCAAAGAAAGAGCCTCCTGCGCATGGCTCAGCTCAGAAGCTGGCACCACTGATTGCCGCTTCCAACTCCCCGGAACGGGAGAGAACAGAGGGCCAAGGGGTTTTGAGAGCGGGAGAGGGGGAGGAGGATCTCCCATCAGAGTTCTTCCCTCCTAGGTGACACAAAACCCCGTTCAACAGAGGAGACTGAGGCCAGGAGAAGGGAAGGGGACGCAGGGGCACATGGTTTATGCCAGGGCTCTCCTCTCCTCCAACCTACAAAGTTCTCTTTACAGTCTGTCGAAAATTCCTCCTGCTCTTTTTTTTTTTTTGGTTGTTCCAGATTTTGCTAAACTGTGTTTAGGCAGGTTCTGGGCCAGGGTGCCATGTGTATTTTTGCTGCTCGCCTCCCAGAGGGAACCCCCATACCAGCCTGGCCAGAGTACTTTTCTCTCAAGGTTACACCATTCTCACGTAGAGGCAGCTCAGTCCACGGAAGGGCCCTACTCGCAGACCCCTGAGAACTGGGGGAGGAGGAGTGAGCCGCCGGAACCCCAGAACCCTGTCCATCCCCCAGGGGCCCAGGGATCAACCACCTCACAAAACACCAGCTGAAACTGGCCCAAGGTCACACACCAAGCACACGATGGGCAAATCTGGGACTAGAAACTAGCAGGGCTATCGACCCCCACCCCATCCCCAAGGCTGGTTCCCAGAGATGCTCCCACGGGACGAGGCGGCCCCCTCTCCAGCCCCAGTGGAGCTGCGCCTCTACCCCAGACCCCAAGCGCCATAGAGCGGGGGAGGCGTCTTCAGGCCTGTAGCCAGGGCCAGCTGCAAACCGCATCCTGGGTCCCCAGGCGCCGCGGACCCGCCCCGCCCCTCCCTCTGCTCCCCGCAGCCCCGAGCCTTTGTCAGCCACGCGCTCACACACAGACCCGCGCCGCCCGCGCGCACACACCCGGTCTCCCCTGGTGCACACCCGCAAGGGGCGCGCGCACTCGCCGCACGCACGCAGGGGAGTGGAGGCGGCGGAGGAAGGAAGGAACTGACCCGCTACGGCCCCGACAGACCGCCTGGGCTGGGGGAAGGGGAAGAGAGGCCGGGGAACCTGAGGCTGGGGCGGGAGGGGGCGCGGAAGCGAGAACACAGAGAGACGCAGAGGAGACTCTCGGAGAAGAGGACAACGGAGGGGACGTCAAGGGCTGGCGAGGACGCGCGGGCTACTCCAGGGATGGGGACTCCTTCTAGCCCCTGGCCCGGCGGGGCGGGGTTCAGGGGGGCAGGGGGGCGGTCCCCGGGTTGGGCCCGTGATTCACCGGGCTTCACTTGCCCAGTTGTGCCCGAGCACAGGGCCCTTAGAAACCCCACGTAAGGCTCGAATATAGGGGCCCTGGGACCAAAGGCTTCCCGGGGTACTTCCAGGCGGGGGGGGGGTCCTGGTTCTCGGGCTGGGTGGGCCCCCGCTCACCTGCCACGGTGTACCTGTCCAGGTAGTTGAGCACGTTGCCCAAGCTGAGGATGGCGGCAGCTGCCCCCCGTCCGCGGCCCAAGCTGGCTGGTTTGGGCTGCTGAGCGCCGGGGTCCTTGGCAGCGGCTGCGCAGCTGGGGGTGCCGGGGGCGCCGGGGGGTCCGGACGGAGCCCGCCTCACGCTGCCCGACAGCGTCTGCACCTCATCGTCGGCGGCCGCGACTCCAGCGGCGCCCAC